AGGGGGTAGGCCTACGGGCCAGGGCTTCCCCGCGGAGGCCCATACCCCAAGCAAGCAAGCAAGCAAGCAAGCAAGCAAGCAAGAGAGAGCGAGAGAGAGGGAGGGCGATGGCAAGGGAGGCAACCCTCCTGTCCCTAGCCCTGTCGAAAAAAGAGAGATGCAGTGTCAGTCATGTCAGCTTTTGTCAGAGTTTTTGCACATGTGCCTCTGTTGGATTCCGCGACCGCAGGCATTTTGCCACTATGTTGCCGTTGCGTGCTTGCTACACATCATCTGCAAAAACAGAGAAGAAGGCACACATTGCACATTGGATGCAAGTACCACTGCTTGGAGCACGGACCTTCGCTGCCATGTCTGCACCTCGGTGGTTAGCCGTGGCTTGCTTGCGTACTATCTAATTCGATTGCCCACGAGGCCGAGACCCCGCTTCGTCGCTGCATCGGATGCTGCGCCCGACGCTCTTCCTCCCCTCTTCATGCATTGCCTGTTGACTGCGCACGGCCTTACATTGAATTATGGAATTTCGGATTGTCGTGCGGGCCCTCTGTGTGCCGAGGGGGTGAGCAGCTGCAATGGGTGCTAGCTCACAAGCCCCCCGCGCAAAGTAACGAAGAATCTTCCAACGCCTCCCGGATGTCGTCCGGGAGCTGACAGACCGGGTTGGCAACCTCACAGCTACGTAAGCATCTACGAATGCAGAACCAGACCCGGCAAAATGCCGAAAAGGTTCCTCGACACCCGGTCCCACTCGCCCCGCCGAGAGTTTCGGGGTCCACAAGCCGAATCGTTTTTCGCCCGTTTCTCGCGGTTCCTAGATTTTGCCTCATGCCCCGGAGAAAAGGGAAAGTGCCGAAAAGGTTCTCCGACCCCCGGTCCCACTCGCCGCCGCCGAGAGTTTCGGGGGTCCCCGAGCCTTTTCGGCAATTCTCGGCAGTTCTTGTGGCTTCTTGCTGTTAGCGAATAACTAGGCAAGGTGCGAGTTGCTGCTCGTTCCGTGCTGCACACAGGAGCCCAAAGCCAGACTCGGGAAAATGCCGAAAAGGTTCCTGGACCCTGGTCCCGCTCGCCCCCACCGAGACTTTCGGAACGGTCCCCGAACCGAATCGGCATTTCTCGCCGTGTTTTCCACGGTTCCCCAGTCAGACCCGAGAAAATGCCGAAAAGGTTCCTGGATCCCCGGTCCTGCGGGCCCAAGCCGGAAGTTTCGGGGGGTCCCGGAGCCTTTTTGGCGTTTCTCCGGACCTCTTGTGGGTTCTTGTTGTGAGCGAATCACTGGGCAAGGCGCTAGTTGCTGCTCGTTCCGTGATTCCTATGTTATCCCATGTCCCTCCGAGAGCACACAGGAGCCCAAGGCCAGACCCGGGAAAATACCGAAAAGTGCCGAAGTCCAAAACCAAGCTGGAGGTCGTCTGGAGATCGCCTTGCCACCAGCAAATGTTCGACGTCGCCTGGGCGGGCCAATCTCAAAAACAGTTTGGGGGTGCCGTGCTCACGAGGTTCAAGTCAGCCGCCGACGCCGGGCGTGCCGGATGCAAAAACCTCCGTACTCAACCTCGTCGGCCAAAATCGACCAGATGAGTCTGCCGGCGTTCGGGGCTCGGTTGCTGTCCTACCCTATAACATACCCTAACCGCCAACCCGGAAGCCTGAAGCCATCTCGTTCGCAAGAGGCTGGTGTGCTGACGCGATGCTGATAGCAAAGATATCGAGGACTGCTGTCCTTTGATGCGAATTCTGGCCAGGACGTGGTTCAGCCTTCGCCGCACGGAAGCCAAACAAGAAACGTCGCCGCGGGGGAGCGGCAAGAAAAGAAACCATCGAACCAGCTGCTTACTTCGTCTGTCTGTCTGTCTGTCTGTCTGTCTGTCTGTCTGTCTGTCTGTCTGTCTCTGTGTGTGTGTGTGTGTTTGTGTTGTGTGTGTGTGTGTGTGCTTGTCTGTCTGTGCGAGAGTGAGGAGGGAGAGAGTGAGTGAGCCAAACACGCGAGTGCCTAGCATCATAGCCGAATCATCGCAACATCACAATCATCACGGTACGACCCCCCCCCCCCCCCCCCCG